AAATATTCAGGATTTTTTACATAGGATCATAAAAAGTAATAAAGGTTATCTTTACAAAGCAACCTTTTGGGTATTAAATAAAGCAATCAAGAACATTGTTATAAATGGCATAAACCTTACTATCTGCCAGCAGGCTTTTTAAAATAGGAAGGTCATATTTCTACAGAGTTGGTGGCTAATATGCTGTGTAAATGGGAAGGGAATGGGACCCAGATGAGAAACTGAACCTTCCCCTCTTACCTCATCGCCTGCTCTGCACCAGGAGCCCGAGCTAGCCCACAGTAGTGGCATTCCTTCAGCCAAGCAAGAGTCATGCTGCCAGGGTCAGCAATTTACAAGATTCAGATGGAATCCAAATTGTTCATCAGAAATTTTAGGAAAAAAATATAGATTGTATAGATTATTTTTGTCCATGTCTAGTATTGTCAAGAATACTGAGTAAGTAGTAAATCATTGTCTCAAGTTGTCATTAAACCTAGTCTAGAATTCTCCAAATTGGGCTATAGAGTAAAAAATTTATTTATATTCATGTTGTATTAGATAAATCCAGCAAATTCATATTTAAATCCTCAGGTCTACCAAAATCATTTATCTCTACTTTTACCAAGTTTTTACAAACCTATATAAACAATCAAAAGCCATAACCTTTATAGATTTTTATCTCTATAATGTTCAGTGAGATAATTATAATAAAAAGTATTTTTGTGCTTGTTTTCCATGTAGAAATAAAGAGATTAGCTGAGAAAGAAGACTGGATTGTTGATAACGAAGGACTGACTTCTCTAGTAAGTTTAAATTCTTTTCAATTAGTCATTAGTGTATATTATATTCAAAGTAAATAATTTATTGTATTACTAAGGAACATATGCTCTCTGCATTGTAACTCTAAATAATTTCTGGGAATAGAAAAATAAACTTCAAGTTTCCTTTTCAGGGTCATTTTTGCTTAATGCTAATGACAGATACTAAATAATAATGAAAACAGTGGGTATCTTTTAGAGTGCCCCTATATATTTAGTATTTTTGTTTGCATTACTTTTTTTTTTTTTAAAAAGAGCATGCTTAATTCTAAATGACTCAGCAACTTGAATTTTTCCGAAAAGCAGGATGGAAAAAATGCTTTTGCTGGCCCCTAAGCCAAAACAAAACAGTAAAACAAAAACAACAGCCACAAACCTCTCCAGATATATTC